CAGTGAGCCTGGTTGAAAGTATATTCTGCCTACTTTCCCAAAGTATAATTGACTTCTTGACAGCTGATTTCAAGAAGTGGGGTGACTAGTCTTCTACCCTAACCCCAGAAACAAGGCATTAGAGGCATGTTTGGACCTGCCTAGCTATGTGGAGAAGTGCTTACTGGGCATGTTCCTCTCGGGAGACAGTTGGAACAGAGTGCCTTGAATTCTTTGCACTGTAATAGAAGGTTACTTATAGTATTAGAGAAAAACTTCTTTCCATCCTAACCTAATTAAACCTCTGAGCTCGCCACTCCAATTAAATGTTTAGACTTGGAGTGTTATTGTTAAGCTGAGGAATAAATCTCATGAGAAAGTTCGAACATCCACTTTATGAAGAAACATACACAAGATAATGAAAACTATATTCAATTAAATTGTTTCGTGGGTCATAGATATTGTTTAGCTCTCTTAGGCAATCAGGTAGAGAAAGATTTCTGAGGTGGGATGGAAAACATGGATAGGAAGTGGAAGGAGTCAAGACAATTATTTTAACTGTCTAGCAGTGAAAGGAAATAGAAAAATAAATGGGAGAGATTAGGAGAATCTCAGGATCAAGTAAACAGAAAACATGGGTTTAAAGGCAGTGGAAAAGAGAGAGAGGTTCGCTAAGAGAACAGAGTAAGAATCTTATTTCTAGGGGGCACAAGAAAGTTGAAATTTTGCAAAGGAGCAAATTTGGAGTTTGGGAAGTGGGCCTGAACCCTGAGTAAGAACAAGAGAATTCACTGTATGGTTCAGAGTTTTGAAGGAAGGTAAATGGAGCTTAACTCTTCAGAGTATAAGAGAGGTATTAATAGTGGCTGAAGAGAGCTGAGATGCTTTAGAATGTGTGTGTGTGTGTGTGTGTGTGTGTGTGTGTGTGTAACATACTAGATGATTCATAAGAACAAGAAAGAGTTACAAATATTTCAGAGAGCCACTCAGAGCCCAGGGCAAGTGAGAAAAGTTTGATTTTTATTCTGTATTGTTTGGACCCACTCTGAAATCTCTCCGATGCTCATAAATTTTATGCTTTTGACTTGGTCTGACCATGTGAGGCTCTATATGACCTATTTGCATTATGAAAGGAAGCATGTTTTAAACCGTTCCCATCCTTCCCCCACTTAGTTTGTCTCTTGCATCATATATCAAACTATTGTGGCAAATGTGCATCATATATCAAACTATTAGGTAAAAGGGGAATCCTAATTGCTTTACCTATTCCTTAAAAGATATAAAAACGTTTGTAACCTGTAGAACATATAGCTCCCACCAACATTTTCAGCCACCCAGGCTTTCGGGGAAGCTGCTATCTCAGTTGTAGTCCCACCTGACAGGGATGAGTATAACTGTGAATCGAAAGACATGTGCTCCACCCCATCAGAGTCCATTTAGGACATATATGCCCCCATATACTTGTATTGAAATTCATATTAACTTAATCCCCCACCCTTGATTTCAGCACACTCTTTGTGATTGAAAATACATAGCATCAACTAAAAATTCAAAGGAGAAAATAATCCAACCATGAAAGGATTAATTAACTTTCCTTTCCATGTAAGTTATTTTTAATAGGATCATTTAGAAAACATATGTTACCCAGAAGAGTGAAACAATTTTAGGGAGTTTCCAGCAGAATGATGATTTGTTCTGTTTAGGAGATCTGTATGGGCAATGGAGTTTTAAGAATTCCTTCTAACACATCACGTAAATGGCAATAGATTATAATAATATATAATACATTATAGCATAATATACACATCTCACCTATACATGTATAATCCCTACATGATTATGTATATTATAAATATTATCTCTGCACTAGGGCCATTATTCTTTCCTAGATACCAAAGCCGTAAAGGCTGGACTATAGTTGTATAAATATTTCTCTCTGATTGCATGATATATAAAAATAAAATGACAGTTTCAAAATACTTTACAGTGAAAACTTTTCTATTACTAGGGGAAGCTTTTCTTAACTGCTTCCTTTGAGTTTGGTTTGTGATTTACTGGGACCATTTGGAGACAGGTCATATTTTCTAGACAGACTGTAGGTATTTTAATATCTTAATCAATTTTTGCCACTTTAGATCCTCTACTGGGCTAGATTAATCTTCCCCTAGGTTTCTGACTTTCAAGGAAGATCACTTATCAAAATCATCTTTACAGGAAAAAATGAAGCTGCAATAAAAAATTTTAAATGCCCTCATTTCTCCCAAGTCATATATCACAAATATTTTAACTAGAATGAAGACTCAAAATAAATATATTCTTCATTTTTAGAAACTGTATAAAAATAAATGTGATTCGCCTTTCAATTTCACTTAATTCGATTTTTGTTTTCACTCCACTGATGTCTGTCAACTCCAAAGTAATGGGGGTATCACTCCATTTGACGTTCTAGTTTCTCTCTCCACCATGGACTTCTCTGTGTGCATTCGCCTTCAGGGTATAGGTGATCTCGGCTCCTGAAACCATTCTCCCCAAACCTGGCTCTGCAGTAAGGTATCAGCTCTCCTACAGAAAGCTCCAGAAGAAAGGAAAATAGTTGTGTTGCCCTCTGGTTTGGGGTTCAGAAACAGTAAGTTGGAGTAAGTACTTTCATGCCTTATTTCTCCAGAAGGAAAGTGGTTCTGGGAATGCTGACTCTGATCCTAAATAACTTATCGAGCCAACAGGTCACAGGATTTGGCTCTTAACATTTCTCTCATGATGTCATTTCCACTGGGGGTAGCTGTCAGTAAAGAAAGAAACCACATTCTTGATTTTGACACAATCAAAAAGGGTCTGTTGATTTCTGTGAAGACAAACATATATGAAGATGAACATGATTGTTCCTTGGGCTTTCAGGGTCATTCTCAAAGAAATGACTTAAAACACTTGAAAATGTATCCAGGAAATAAATAAAACCTGGGCCACATATAGCATGCATTTAAAATTCGGCCTGTCCTGAACTAAACTTGAGCAAATGTCTACCCTCCTCTCTGCCTCTCAAAAAACGAGCACATAAAATAGATCAGCAATATTTGCTGTGGTTTCACAATTTTTCTCTTCTGAAATAGTGTTCTGGTCAATGATTTTTAGAAAAAAGGGGTTTTAGAGATATACGCTATAGTTCTGCTCATTGCTGTAAGTCTTTGAGATCATCATTCTGAATCTGGGAGGGGCCTTAGAAATAAGTTACGGAATCTGGTGGCTAGTGAGCTCTGAATTGGGCTGCTAACTGCAAGGGCAGCAGCTTGACCTCATCAGCCACTTTGGGGGAGAAAGGTGAGGGTTTCTGCTCCGGTAGCGATTTACAGCCTGGGAAATAGTGCTAAGAGGGCAGTCCTGCTGGGTCCCACAGGGTTTCCAGGAGTCAGAAGGACTGATGGCAGTGATGGAGAAGCACAATAGCTCTGGACAAAAGGCAGAAAGGGCTTGAAGTCAAGATGTTGGAGGAATGGGTTCCTGCTGGACTTCAGCATTCACTTCAGAACTTCAGAGTCAACCTGGTAGACCTGTTTCCACATCTATAAAATAGGGAGTCTGAGCTTGAGGGCTGGGGGGTAGGTGTGAGGGTGAGGGTGAGGATGGGGGTAGGGGTGGGCAGTCTCTGCCCACATTGAGTGCACATTGGAAAGCCTTGGTCCAAAGAACTTTTGATCATCCTAAAAAGATCTGCAACAGAGAGACCCTGATGAGCGATGGAGTAAAGCTTCTTTCTTTGACTTCTGGATGTCTTTGATTTGCCACGAGGCAGGCTTTTTAAAATCCAGGCGCCTGCTACTGGATGGCACGTTTCTCTACAGTCCTTGCATTTAGATGCTCCGGTTTCTTGTGGGCAGAACTGCGAGTCCACGGCTCCTGTACTGAAGTCAGACAGAAATGGCAACATATTACCCTCGCTCAGAAGAGCAGAATTTTGATCCGGATTTCAGTGCTTCCTCCGCTTTTGTTTAATTGGGGATGCAGATTTGGAAGTCCATTGACAGGTTAAGTAGAAATCTGATGACATCGTTCAAAAGAACACCGTTAATGAACATGTTTTCCTTTTCTGCTCAGCAATTTGTATAGGCTCGCTCCGTGTTTGTCTCTTGATAACCTCATCAATCTCATCCCTGCCCCCCTGACCACAGCCCTGATTGCAGTAATTCCATTTTCGTGGGGCTTTCCGCTGCAGGACAGAGTGCTCCTCGCTTCCTGATCGTGAGCGCCTGAGCTCATCTTAGGCCGGCCTTGATTTCTTTGTAAAGGCTGCCTATGGAATTTCATATTGATTTTAAGCTGGCACCGCTTCATTTTTAACTCCTCTGTAAGCCCCGAGTCCAGTTGTATTAGCGTCTTCTCCCTGTCAGCCATTGGTTATCTGTCTTCTGTAGCTTTTGCTCTGCACTCCTTGCAAGGCTTTAGGGTGTATATGTATAAAAAAGTGTTGCCTTTGTATGCCTCATTTCATCTTGTTTGCTTCTTTTAAAAATGTCCAGAGTAGTATAGCACTTTTCTCGATGGAATGTAAGGTTCAAATGCAATTAAACATAATCTAAAAGAAAATTTATACTCAGAATAAGTACAGAGCATCCCCAAAAGGGGGTGGGGGAAGGAGAGGCTGGGCATTTATATCAAAGGACACTGGTGGGATTGGCAGCCTTGCATTGTCTCCAGAGAGGGCTTGATAGGCGCAGCTTTACCAAGTCAGAGGAAGCAGAGGCCAGCTGTTAGTTGAACAGTGAGAAATGACTACAGGTGGGACTTATTACAAGCATACCTTCTTTCCAACGTTTGTCAATTGGCTGCCCTCCAGAACGTCAAATGGAGATTATTTAGCATAAGGTCTGACCCAAGGCCGTACAGATTTCTAAGTGGCACCCAGATCAATAGCAGCTACGTTCTGGAGTGCCTCCGCATTTATGAAGCTTTTCAAAGCTGCTGCTTCATTTGATCTTCAGGAAAGCCTTAAAACACAGGCAGGGTCGCTATTAATATTCCCATTTTTAAAAAATATGGGACGCTTCACACGTTTGCATATCATCCTTGCACAGGGGCCATGCTAATCTTCTCTGTATCTTTCCAATTTTCGTGTATGTGCCGCCGAAGCAAGCCCATTGCTCCCATTTTAAAGCTAAGGGTATAGAGACCCAAAGACTATGACTGGTCAATCAGCACGTAGAAGATAGAATTGGGGCTAGGATTTCAGCTTCCTCACATCAAAGAGTGGCTCCATTTCTGGGTCCGTCTTGTGTAATGCAAACAAATATATGTATAGCTCTTGTGGATCTCTTGTATTACCCCTAGATTTACAATATTTTATTTCCTTATCTATGTACTTTCACATTTCTCTCCAGCACAGCAGAGGTTTTTTACATTTTATTTATTTTTTTACCACAAAGAAGAATGACAGAAATCAAGGTCGGCACGTTAAGCATATTATTCTTAACTGCTTACGGAATTGTCCCACTGGATTGCCCTATTGTATTTTAAGTTTTATTTTAGCTCCATTTGCTTGTCTGCAAAGTGAAGGGGCGAGGCTAGGTTCCTCTCCCTCTATGGCGCAGTGATGAGGAGAAGGGAGGTGAAGAAAACAGCGGAACTGCAAGTGAATATGATTATCGTGGAATCACAAGCACAGCACATTATGCATGTTTTAAAACTAGATGTAGTATTTATATTCAAAAATGATGCCTTATGAATTACCTTCATTCTTCAGTGTACTGTTTAATCTTACTGCAAGCATAATCCTTACACAAATCTAAATCAATGTGCTTGTCCTCCATAGAAGATACTTAAAATTTCAAAACATGTTTATGTCCCAAGACAAAAATGTTTAGTTTCATACAATTCTCTCAGTTGATAGAGGATTATATAAGCTTGACTGTAAATATCCACTAAAATGCATATTTCCCCTTAGTCACTACTGTCTAGGGGCTTAAGCATAGCTGTCATTTTTAAGTTACTGTTTCTATATTTTTTGTTTAACGCCTCATTTCTAGTTTTAAAACTAAATTATTTATTTCAACATAAAAAAACAAATTGACTTTGAAAACACTTAATTTTAAATACATTCTATATTTAGATAAGACGAATATCCATTTTGTATTTTAATAATTTCCCTAGTTGTATCAGCTAAATGGATTGGTTATGGGAGTAATCAAATAAGTATAATATCTCTCAGCTGACAGAACGAGGGGAACTTGAAATATTCTGAGGCTCAGATAAAGTTGAGCTCTGTATGATAGATTTTATACGTAAACTCCTTGGTTAAATACAAGTTTTGAAAGACTCAGGCTTCACCATCCCCAGGCTTCTCCATAGAATTTAGGGAAACCAGCACCATCACAAACAGCAGCATCAACGCCACACAACGCCCAGAGAAACAGATGTAAACAAGCGGTAAACCTCTTTGTTTCCCTTCAAAATTAATGGTGATGATGTCATTAGTAGATCCTCCCTAAGCAGCTTACAATTCACTCTTTGATCTTGTTTTTACATTTTCCTACATAAATAGGGACTTAAATGGTCAGATATTCTAGGACTTCATGTCTATTTTTAGTTCTTAATATGTCTTGTGCAGAAAGTACAAACCCAGCTTACTTGACTCCTTTTCATTTCTGTTGCCTGGTTCCATCAAAGAATTTATTTATTGCAAATGCCATTGGACAGTTAGCTCTTCACACATATACTGACTGTGTTTCTGAGTTTTTTGGACAGCGATGGCTTTTTATTCCCTTGAATTCAACCCTCACGGTAGATCTGATTAAAGCTGATGTAAAAGCAAACACATTTTCTTAGTAAAACCCAAAAGTGCACCCATGGTACTGAAAGCCACAACCTAGACAAAACTCACGTGAACTCTAACATCACAGCATTCAGTGTGCAGCTCGGGGGCATTTCGTGGCACGTTTAGTTTCATACAGGCCCAAGGAACTGGAGTCTGCATCACCCACTGCACACATGACACGTGACTTCTGATTTCAGGAGTTGGCACTGCCCCTCTGTGTGCTGAGATTTGCTCAGTCTTAATGTTGATTCATACTGAAGCTTAGAAGATATAAATGGAAATAAAAATACCACATTCAAAGAGTTTCTTGAAAGTGGAAACCACACAGCTGCATCCATGGCCATGTTATGATCAGAGTCTCAAGAAGGGGACCCCGAGTGAAGTCATTAATAGAGTAATTGCTCCAAATTTGACAGATGCATCAACTAGTGACGATAGAGCATGGCTTAATTTTTCTTGTTTTCTCACTGGTCTCCCGCGTCTCTTTTCTGTGGGGCTTGGCCCAGGACTGTGGCAAGAAAGAAAGAGAGAGAAAGGGAGAGAGTGAGTTTCAGCTCTAGTGTATGCATTCTCACTCTGATAGTTCTGATATGAAATCTTAAAGTGGACTTAAGAGCAGTCAGCTGCGTGGGAGCACATATTGATGACTTGGTTGGCAGCATTTCCCTGCTGAGTGCCAAGCTACAGATGTACTCCCAATCAATTCCCACACAGCTACTGTTCACTGAACTATTCACACAGAATCGAGTATGGCACTGGGGCTTGGAGATCCAGAAATGTCAGAACAAGGGTCCAAGCAGAGCAAACCTCTAAACCAAGCAGAGATGCGGCGGACCTACAGGGACCAAGCTGGTAAAAATAAATAAACGTGTGTGTGTGTGTGTGTGTGTGTGTTTAGAATTAATGTGACAAGAGGAATTTTTTTTACAATCTGGTGAAATTATTTTCTTTATTGAGAGCTAATATGGAGGGCATTATTCTATATAGTAGAGATTACCTACATATTGAATATAATGAAGTTGAACAAATAAACACAGTCTTTTAAGACAACAAATACTAAATAAAGCAACAAAAAAATTTGTCTACACAAAATACCTACTTTTGATAAAATATTTTTATAACAGGAGCATCTGGTTGTATAATAATTAAAGCATAAAATTGACTTTACTTATATTTTATCTGAGAAGATTAAATATTGTTTTCTGCCATCCTTTCCTTTAACATCAGAGATTACTTTATGAATATCTTCTCTGTTTATATGTTTGTGTATGAGGTTATACATATATGTGAGATGTATGCAAATATTCTAATGTAATATATGAAAAGGTTTTATACACACATAGGGACTTCAAAGCTTGTAGAAAAATTCCATTTTAATTACATTCCATTTTACCAAAATTTTTTGAAGTCTTCTCCTATGTGTGTATGTCTCTGTGTGTGTGCGCGCGCGCACACGCTGGGAGAGAGCATATATATATATATACATCTCTCTATCTCTATATATTTATAACTAAAACCAAACACACTGCCATTGAGTCAATTCTGACTCATTCCTTTAAGACATTTTCCCGTTCTTCAGCAGGTTCCATTTACCAAATCATAAATGGCTCATGGTGTTTGTATATATAAACTTTTTTGTCTATCTACAGCCTAGACATGATGAGTCATTTTATGATCTGGTAAATGTTACCTGCAGGAACACAGGAAAATATCTTAAGAGGAAATTTAAAAAAAAATTTTATATTGGATTAAAATAATTATTCATGTTTAAAATTCAAAAAGAAAAGTTTGAAATGCCTAAATTGATTTTCTTAATGGATAAAAAAATAAGTGACTCAAACTAATAATTTTAATTCGGCGTCACGTATTAAGAACAAATTTTCAATAAAAACAAAGCAACTATTTTTGGACTAATGTCACCGATTTTTAAAATCAGTGATTAAAAATACACAATTCATTTTAAAATCCTCAATATTTTCTTCATGCTCTCCTCTACCTTTTAGATTGGGAAAGGGCAACCAGATCTTTGAAGTGGGAACTTACAATGGACTGTTATTAGTTCCTGTGATAAGTACCGTGAACTCAGAAATCAGGCATCAGTGAACCAAAAATAGTGATGTTTAACTCAAACAAAAGTGTAAGTATCCATTCTACAGAAGGTTTTGCATGGGGGGAGAGACATGGATGGAATAAAAATGGCAGAGTTGAGTTTCTAAATGGAAGATGACTTGTTCACAATATCCTGCGGTCACTCCAAAATGTGTGTTGGGATAATTCTCTTTTTAAGGCAGCGCACCCCCCCAAATAAGTAGCCTGAACAAATTCAATTGCACATAATGTAGTAATCAAATACATACTTCTTTTTTTAGACAATTTCACATTTAAAATTTTTATAAATATAATTTTCTTGTTCCCTCTGAAAGTTTAAAAAACAAAAAATAAAAAACTGATTAATCCCAAATCCCAGTTTAACAATTGCTTAGTACAAAGAGCTCCAAAAAGATTATGAAAAAGTTCTGTTATCTTTCACTTCTATTTTTCCCGTGAGCTTATTTGACGCTTCCTAGTGTACACCATCCCAATTTACCCTGGGTCTTTCAAGAGCCACGTAAAGTTACTATCCCATTGCGCAGCCAAGAAACCTGTGTATCTGGCTGGGAATGATAACATTAGGATAAAATCATTCACTTCAAACACTGTTTTTGTTTTTTGAATTGTTGTGCTACATGCATAATTTGATAGACTAATTGACCAGTTGTTATTAGCAGATTCTTATCCTGTGAGATCTTTGCAATAGTACCTAAGAAACTAGGAAAAATGCTTTTTATTTTTCACAGGTGTCTTTCGCTTTTTCCAGCTTCCCTGGAATCATGCCCGCCAGTGAGGAAATCAGCAAATCTCTCTCCAGTTCAAACAAACATCTTTTCCTTCCCTTGCACGGCCTTTCTCTGCTTCATTTGGTCTTTGCTCACGAAGTACACGCGGTCCATGGGTCCACTATCGATCAGTAAGCACTCACCTAGAACCTGCTTCAAGATGCTTAGAATTGTGGAAATGACCGTTCGAACAAGGAGGGGGTCAGGCCGTGGGAAAACTGTTTTGGCATGTCGGGGGTGGGGTGGGGGGCGGGGTCACTTTCTCGCTGCTCTAGTCCTCTGTGTCCTCATTTGTGCAGTGAAGGCGTTTTCCAGATTGCTTCTGAGATTCCTCCTGGTCCTGATGAGTTCGGCTTCGATGACATCATTCTTTCTCTGGATAGGGGTTGGGAGGCCATTCAGAGAAGTACATTTTTCAGAGGAGAACATTCTGACATGCAGTTTGCTCAA